AATACACACATACAATATGTATATACTTTATATATACACACACCTTTAAATAGTTATATTTAGAGAATACACAAATTTTTAGTTGCAAAACTGTTGCTCAACAATAGAATCCATGTGAACTTTCCTACAAGACTTTAAGAACTAGAACAGTAACAGAATTATCCAAAAAAAACTCCACAATTTCAGGAAATTCCAAAATGGAATGCTGAGGATGTCAAGACAAAACCATCCATAACAATTCCAATGTCCTGGAAGAAGTAAATCATTCAATTTTGGATATAAAGTTACCAGGTCTATTGTTAAGAGAAATAGATAAAGTATGCAAAAACATCATATTAAAAAAAAACTATTTTGATGTTTTTGATGGGAATATAGCTCATCTGGTAGAGTGCTTGCCTAGCATGCACAAGGCCCTGAGTTCAATCCCCAGCACCACCATCAAAAAAAAAAAAAAAAAAAAAACACCTATTCTGAGACAACCAATGCTTCCTCAATAACAAAACAATACCAAGGAATCAGAAACAGAGAGAGGATACCCGCTACTTCATGTGTTTGAGGCAACCTTCCAAATCTAGTGTCTAAAATAGTGCTGACAACATAACATTTAATATTTATTAATGAATGTACCTGACCACTCATTCCTTCAAAAAAATGAAGTACCCATTCACTATACTGGCATTATTGGGGGAGGGGGATGAATAAAGCCTGATTTCCAACTTTCAAAAGCAAACAGATTAATGGAAAAAGATATTTAAAATGTAAATAATTGTAATACTACATAGAAGAGTTATAATATTAATATTTTGCTATAGGGCTAATGGCTTTCATAATGTATCTGACAAATACTTTATTTATTTTTTTTTATATTTATTTTTTAGTTTCCGGCGGACACAACATCTTTGTTTGTATGTGGTGCTGAGGATTGAACCTTGGCCGCACGCATGCCAGGCGGAAGCGTGCTACCACTTGAGCCACATCCCCAGCCCTGACAAATGCTTTATAATTTTGAAGTTGAACTACTCAACTAACCTTAATGAGTACTCTAACCATTACAATCAGATTCAGTTTTCAAAATACTATTAGTTATTATTTAGGTAACATTTTATTTGAAGTGTTTCATTATAATCATCTATGCTTGCATTATCCACCAGCAGCACTCCATGTCTATCAAGGGCATGAAATGGTTAAGGTACCCACTGCTAATCACATGCTCGAGTAATAGCTAGAGCTTAACTGTTTTATGATATATAATACACATAATTATGAATTTTATTACACAACCAGTTCTCCTGCAGCCCCCATCTACAGTTGCTAAGATCAGTAAACATTAGCAGGGATCTATAAAGAACATTGCTAATGCTATCAAGACAGAAAAAAAACACAATTTATGTGTTAAAGATAAGTACAAATTCTGTTACTGAAAAATTGAGTCCAAATGTCATTCTCTTGAATCTGGGCTGGTCTCAAGGATTTGACTGAGCAAGAGAATACAGATGTAACTTCCAAAGCTGGTCCCAGAAGCCTTACTATTTCCACTCAGGTTATCTTGAAACACACTCTTTATAAGCACTTGACCTGCCATAAATCTGAGTACCCAGGGGTCTAGCTCTACTCAGAGAGGCTATGACACTCTGTGAAGAGCAGAATTCCACCCTACTCTACCTCCCTCAAGGCATCTTAGGCCTTATACACCTCCCAGCTGAGGCCCCACACACCAAGGAGCAGAGATGAATCTAACCCACAGAGCTAAAATCATCAAAATAAAAGATTGTTTTAAGTCACTAAATTTTGAGGTAGTTTGTTCGGAAGCAACAGATAACCAGAATTATATAAAGATTCCAAATACTCGTCTAGAGATAAATCATTTAATCAATATCTCTTTCTGGGGTGGGGGTGGGGTGATTCAGTTATAGAGAAGCACTGTCAATTAACAGACCTGAATTGAGGAGCTTAGGTCCAAGATAATGATGCTTTTTTTTTTTTCTTATTCTTTTTTTGCTTTTTTTGGTACTAGGGATTGAACCCAGGGGCACTTAACCACTGAGCCACATCCCCAGTACTTTTTTTTATATTTTATATTTTGTTTAGCAACAATGTCTTGCTGAGGTGCATAGAGCCTTGCAGCTGGGACACAGGCATGTGCCACCATGTCCAGCCCAAGATGCTTTTGATGATGATTATCATTAAAAAAAAAAAAAAAAGAAAGAAAGAAAAAAGAAATAAACTAGAAAATAAGAAAGGAGTAAGGGAAGTTTTGTACAGATTAAATGACAGTTTGATATTAAGCTTCTATATGAGTGCTTGGTTTTGTTGTAAAGTGAAATTAGGCAAAAGGAGAATCCCAGTCAGATGGCTGTCACTGGTTACACGACAGTTCCTTACCCTCTTTAGGAGATCATGTACCCATGATGAGAGCTATGGGCTCTTTCTCCCTTTAAAAAAAAAATGCACAAAACACTTCACACAGCTCAGTGGATTTTTAGCCCTCAGAATCTATGGCCCTTAGGTTTAGAACCTGTTTCAGACAATAATGGTCCACAAATCCACCAGAAGATAATAGGATTGTTAAAACTATAAAAATGTTTTTACTCAAATTTTTTTAAAAAATTAATTTATCAATGGAGAACCCAGCAATTTAAGTTTTATGTGGATCTAATGTCCACTTATTTTAACCTGAAATTATTATTCTATTTCATTATCTTAGCACCAAACAATAAAATTCTGGGTTGCCTCAGAAAATAAAAATTTTTTTGGTGGTGCTAGGCAAAAGTCTACCACATCATTCTAAGGTTGTCTTCTGGGCATAGTGGTTCAGTTATCTTACTTTTCATATTACACAGTAGTAATATGGACATTTTTGCTCTCACAAGATTCTTGAAGGTACGGATTCATTTTCATATCTTGTTAAATCTTTAGCACCCAACACTGAACTTGTACTGGGCCCTAATTATTAATGATGCTAGTCAATCAGCCTGGAGCAAGACTTCTCCAACATTTTGGTCTCTGAAACCCACAAAACTATTGTTTTTTAAAAAAAAAAAAAAGATTATATTTATTGACATTTATGATATTAAATAATGAAACTGAGAAATGTTTAAAATATTTATTAATTCATTTTAAAATAAGAATAAACCCATTATTTAACAAATAACATTTTATTAATAATATTTTCCAAAACAGAATTAGTGAGAAAAGTAGCACTTTCACATTTTTGCAAATCTCTGTAACGTCTGGCTCAATAGAAAACAGCTGGATATTCTACATGCTTCCATATTTCAATCTGTTGTGATATCACAAGTCAAGTTAGTTTCTAGAAAGCTTCACTAACACCCATGGAAGAATAAGAAAGACAATAAACAAACACACACTGTCTTAATATTAATATGAAAATAGTTTTGGCCTCACAGATCCTATGAAAACAATCTCTTTGCGTCCTATGTCCTCTATTTCTTTCTTCACAGCCTTTTTAAATTATCTGACTTCAAACTGGAGCAAAAATAATTCTACAATTTATTTTTTTCTGCATACTATTCTTTCATCAGGCTATCATAAATTTCAACATGCTTTCTAGCTACTTCTGAGCATCAAAATGAAACTGAGCATTTATAGCTGTTCTTTCTTCCCTGGTTACCAAGTAAACAACTGTCTAGAGAGGTACTTATAATACCATTTCCATACTAACTTGGGAATTAACCTAGATTATCACTAAGTAAATCCACCCAAAACTAATCTAGATTATGGTTAAGCTTTAAATACAGAAGTGTACATTTTTTGTAATAGTACAAATCAACAAAAACCTCACTTGATTTCACCATGTGATACAAAACTGAGTTAAAAACCAAAGGAATAAGTGTGTAAAATTTAAAAGTTCAAGTACATTTTGGCGTTAAACATATTTTTCTGAATAATTATCACAAAACAAGTAAAAGGTCAAAAATACTTTTAAAACTCAAAGTCTTCTGAGCAAAAAAAACATACCGAGGACCAGATCAAAACTCTGAATTAAAAACTAGCCATAAACCTAGTTAACTAGAACAGGTTGAGGAAAAACAACTTTAGGCAAAATCAATCACTGCTGACTGAATGCAAATCCCAAGCAAAGTCTTGAGAACAACGTTGAGCTGAAGCACTCTGCCATTAACAGGCAGGGTTTTGCAAATGTTCTGGAACTGCTCTACAAGCACAAAGTTTTCTTATCGTTTTCCTCAAAAGTATCAATATTCTGCAGGTTAATGCTCAGATAAAAAGCTTTTGGTTGCTCCAACAGTTCTGTTCTACTGTTTTGTTTCTTGGTTATTCTTAGTGCTCTCTTACAAGTGGAGAGTCGATGAACCAATCCCGAGTAAGAAATTGGAAAGTACAGAAAAGAGGCGACAGCTCTGCACCCCCACACGGAAAAGGACTCCGAGGCGAGCAGCGTCGGCTGGGCCCTAGAAGCAACCCGAACGCAAAGCAGCCCTTTCCAGGTTCCCCGCAATATCAGACAACGTCTCCCTCGCCGCCCCGCGCCCTCCGGGACCAAGAATCTGAAAGTAGAGTCCAGCCGCTTTTCAGGGCCACAGAGCCTCCCAGTCAGGGATTTCTCGCCCGTTACATAACTGGGGCCTAAGGCCCCGTTTCTGCAATCAGTCCTCTGGAGGGAGATGGACAGGTTCCCCAGGGATCCTCTCAGGGAGGTAGAAGCAGGGCTCTGCACCTGGTCGACCCGGGAGAAAGAAGGGGGACGACTTGAGGGAGGCCGCGACCAGAAGTACTGGGGCACAGGGGGTGAAGAGCGAGACAGAAGAGGGGCGGGGCAGCTCCCGGAGCACCGAGGCAGGTCCGGGCGTCTCCGGCCAGAGCCCGCTCCCCTCCCTCGCCCGCTCAATCCCCACTAGCCGACCCTCCCCAAGTCCGTGCTCCCCTCCCCCGCGCCTCCATCCCCAGCCCCAGCCGAGCGGCAGGCGGACCTGCAGGGTAAGGCCCCGGCCGCCACCGCCGGATGGCTTCCAGCCCAGTACCTGATCAGACATGGTGACGGTGGCTTCACCCGGGGATCTCCGCACAGCAGCGGCCTCGGGTAAGTAGAACCTGGCTCCGGGGTTTACAAATCCGTCTCCCTTCCCCACAGCACAACACCGCGGTTGCAGGGACTTCCGCTACGCCTCACGTCACTTCCGCTACGCGCAGGGAGGAGGAATGGGGAACAGAGGAAAAGGGAGGCGGGAAAACGAGTGGGGGAGCAGTCCGAAGGCGGGAGATCCCCAGAAGCCGCTTTGCTGTTGTCGCACAAGTGAACTGGAGTCTCATCACCGCCTCGGAGGACCACGCCTTAAGCTTCAGACCCGAGCCCATCTCCATGGAGAAAAGGTCCCGGCTCCCGGTCTCAATGTTTGGAGCCATACTGACAACCCAGACTCCTCCCCCTCCAACACCTTGCGCGTTCCTGAATTCTGAGCCAAGATACTTCTTTTGTCTCCTCCCAGTGTTGCTCGTCGACCCTCCCTAAAAGTGTGGAATTGAATGCCAGTCCTTATTTCTAGAGCTACTATTTTTGGTTATCCTCTCGCTCCCACAACTTCCGCACCCCTGTCAAATGACCTTGATTGAAACAACTAAAAAACGACTCCTTGAACACAATCTTGATGGCTACTGATGAAAGATGCTGCTGAAAGTTCTAAACTCAAGGGGGGAGGAGCTAATTCCAACCCTTGAATTGGTGCTTTGAGTTAAAGAATGAACCTTTTAAGATTTCTTCAGAATACATTGGCTCAACTGGCACGAGCATGGATGATAAGGATATAAATAAATGAAATAGAATAAAAAATGAGTGGGGGGAATCAATGAACCCTCACATTTACATCAATTTGAAATCCAAAACAACTCAAAAGCGAAAGAACAGTCTTCAATTAGTACTGGGACAACTGGACATGCACATGCAAAGAATGAAATTGGATATACAAAGTTAACTTAAAATGTATCAAAAGTATATATGTAATTGTCAGGTGGGATAATCCTTACCTGTTCCTCCTTTAGAGGGCAGACAGAACATGATGATTGAAGTTCAAATGGTAAGTGATTAGCATCTCTGCTTAATTATGACCTGCAACACCCTGATTGCGCCTGATTCTAAAAAAAAAGAAGAAGAAGAAGAAGAAGAATGTATATGCAAGAATTAAAACCAAAAAGTTCTTAGGAAAAAACAGACACAAATCTTCATGACTTAGGTTAGATGATGGCGTTTTAGAATCCCAAAATAACAAGAAACCAAAGAAAAACTGAAAAATTGGACTTGATGAAAATTATAACTTGTCTTTATCGTTCAAAATACAAATTAAAGAATGGGAGAAAATACCTGCAAGTAAAACATTTGATAAGGGTATATTTATATTTATAATAATACAGAATTATTATCACTCAATAAGACAATCCAATGTAAAAACAGATAGCAAACTGGAATATCCAGTGAGGATATGCAAATGGACATGAAAAAATGCTCAATATCATTAGTTCCCAGAGAAATGCAAATTAAAATGACAAAGAGATACCACTTTATACCCACTAGGATAACCATTATCAAAAATAATTAACAAGTATTGACAAGGATATGAGAAATTGCAATACTCATTCACTAATAATGGGAATATAAAATGCGCTGAGAAACAGGTAACAGTTCCTCAAACTATAAAATATAAAGTAACCATATAACAGCAAATCTCTTTTTTTTTTTTTTTGCTTGTTCATTTCTTTCTTGTTTGTTTGGGTTTGTTTTTTGTTTTTTCCTTTTAAAACTTAGCAATTCTCCTAGGTATGTACCGAGGAGAATTGAAAATATATATCCATAAAAAAAAAAAAAACAGGTACACAAATGTTCACAGCAACATTGTTCATACTAGCTAAAATGTGGACACAATCCAACTGTCCAGCAACTGATAAGTGGATAAACAAACTGATATAGTCATACAAGGGAACATTGGACTATAAAAAGAAATAAAGTACCCATACTTGCTACCATGTGATGAACCTTGAAGTCATTGTGCTAATTGAAAGAAGGTAGTTAGTTATGATGTAGGGTTTCATTCATATAATATGCAGAATAGGTAAATCTATAGGCAAAAGGTAAATTAGGGGCAGGAGATGTACCTCAGTGGTAAGTACTTGCCCAGCAGAGTGAGGCCCTGAATTCAATCCCCAGTACTAAAAAAAAAAAAATTAGGGGACTGAGTGACTGCATCAACATATTACTAGGGGCTGGGGGATTAGGAAGGAAATAGGGAGCGACTGCTGATGGGTACAAGATCTCTTTTAGGGGTACTGAAAATATTCTAAAATTGTGATAATTGCACAACTCTATAATTATATTTTAAAAATCAACATTTTAAAGAGACAAGGGCTGGGGTTGTGGCTCAGTGGTAGAGTGCTCTCCTAGCATGCATGAGGCACTGGGTTCGATCCTCAGCACCACCTAAATATAAAATAAAGATATTGTGTCCACCCAAAACTAAAAAATAAATATTAAAAAAAGGTTAACAATTATATATATTAACAATGTATATAAAAAAACTATACATACACACACACACACACACACACACACACACAATGGCCCCACAGAGCTGTTAATGACTTATAAAGTATATTAAGAAAACCTGTAGAAAACACACATCCACGCAGGATGTTCAGGAAAATCTAAGGCAAAAAATGGCATATAAGTTGAAATTCAAAGGGTAAATTGAAATAAGCTATAAGCTAGAGAAGCAGTGCTTCATCATTTTGACCCAAGGACTCCTTTAAACTTTGGGGGGGGGGGGCGTTGTTTGTCTTTTGTTTTGTTTTGTTTTAGTAGTACTGAGGATTGGATTCACAGGTGCTCTACCACTGAGTTTCATCCCCAGCCCTTTTCATTTTTATTGTAGGCTCTTGCCTCAAACTTGCAATACTCCTGCCTAAACCTTCTGAGTTGCTAAGATTACAGGATGTGCCACCACGCCCAGCTAAACTTTTAACAATTACTGAAGACATCAAAGAGTTTTTGCTTATGTGTGTTCTATCAATATTTATCATATTAGAAATTAAAACTGAAAAAAGTTTTAAATCTTTATTAATCCATTGGAAAAAAACAAAACCCTTTATATGTTAGCATATATAGCTTTTTTTTAATGAAAAAGGACCATGTTTTCTAAAAACGAAAAAAACTAGTCAAAAAAATTTTTTTTCATTTTTGATTCCCATTCTTTCAGTGACTTACAACAGGTAGAGAAGGCAGAAGAAATACTACTTATAGGAGGCCCATGAAAATCGCCTTTGTAGGAATTGGTGTTGTTGCTCAGTGGTATAGCACTTGCCTAGCAATTGTGAGGCACTGGATTAGATTCTCAGCACCTCATATAAATAAATGAATAAAATAAAGGTCCAGGGGCTGATGATGTGGCTCAAGCGGTAGCGCGCTCGCCTGGCATCCATGTGGCCTTGGTTCGATCCCCAGCACCACATACAAACAAAGATGTTGTGTCCACCGAAAACTAAAAAATAAATATTAAAAAATTCTCTCTCTCTCTCTCTCTCTCTCTCTCTCTCTCTAAAAAAAAAATAAAGGTCCATCAACAACTAAAAACTATATTTTAAAAAATCGCCCTTGTAGGTTTTCAAATCAAGCAAACCTCTGAGATTCAGATGAATGTCCTTGAAAGTTTCTTTCTTTCTTCCTCAATCCTCACCTTGAAAATTACTATCATATTAAACCAGTTATTACTGGACATTTGTTACATTCCGCAAATGTATTACAGCAATAAGATTTCAGAGGTGGAACAATTCTTGGTGATAATAAGGACTAGGGGTGTGGCCTTGGAAGTGAGTCACTAAAGTGTCCCAAGAAATGAAGAGATAGAGGAATAAGAGGGAGTTGGATAGGTTACATAGAAATTGATGTCATCCTAGATAAGAGCAGATCTTGAGAATATAGGAAAGTCAGTGAGCTAATGAATGAATTTGGTAGATCACAATAAAGGGGAAGGACAGGTTTTTTGTTTGTTCTATGATACTGAGGACTGAAGCCAGAACCTCATACATGGCTAGGCAAGTGTTCTATCTCAGAGCTATATCCCCAGCTATGAGGATAGCCTTAGGCTTGAGCCTAAGCAACTCCATTTTAAAAATTCCAGTTAGAAACCTACAGTCTCACTAAGCACACCCACAGAAAGCTGCAGTATGGCCTCAAACAAGTTACTTCTCCTCACCCTGATAAACAGGGTGAAGCCCCTGGCAGGCTGTCCTCGCATGATAAGAGAAAAAAGCTAGAAGATCAGAGACCACCAGACCAGATGTTTCTGACCCCAAGGCAAATGATGTCACTGAGAAATCCAGTGGTAGCTGATAAGGATTGAAACAGGGGTCAAAAGCCCCAGAATTTAGTATAAATAATAGAGCAAATGAACAGGGATTCAGCCAGCTGAAACAAGGATGCACTCCAGCTGGAGAGCCTGATGAGGATATGACATCCCATCACTTGTCATATGGTTTTCTGATCTGCGTGATCCTCACCACTCTCAAACTCTACCGCCTGTCTGGACCTTGGTGAGAGCCGGAACTTCTCCCTACAACCCTCTCCTCAACTGGTCGTCCACTTCACACCAGGAAAACGCCTGCCTTTGTTCCGGACTTGGTCACCTCGGTCTGAGTGAGTGTGCATCTGCTGGACACAAAACCTAAGGCTTAAGACTTTTGATCTGACATTTGAACTTAGCATGCAGAGGGAATGTCTTTCATTAGCCTGTCATGATTAAGTGTGTTTTGCATTGCTTAGAATTAATCTAGAATTGTTTGCTATGAATTGATTATCTCTATTGCAGTGCCTAGCATTAAGGATTGTCATTTTCTTGATTAAGAACCTATAGAATGAAATTGTATTGAGTAATTTGAGTGAATAAAGCATTGAAAAGGTCAGAAGCGCGTGGACATTCTTTATTTCTCCCCTCAACTCCATATGTTGCAATTTTGCCCCCTCGAGACACTAGCCCTTTTTATTTTATCATGAGACAGGTCTCACTAAATTGCCCAGGCTGGCCTCAAACTTGTGATCCTTCTACCTCAGCTGCCCAAATTGCTGGGATTACAAGCAAAGGACAGTTTCTAAACAAAAATGGTGGTCAAAGTAGTACTGGAGAGAATTAGAAACATGAAATACTT